TGAGTGCAGTTTTAGTGCCAGCATTGGTTTGTGGTGGTATATAGACAGCTACGAAAAATATAGAAAACTCTCTTGGTAAATAGTGTGGTCTACAGCTTATCATGAGATACTCTACCTCAGGCGAGCAAAACCTTGAGACTTCCTTGGGGCGGCAGGTAGCTTAGTGGGTAAGAGCGTTGTGCCAGTGGTCGCTGGTTCGAATCCCCGAGCCGACTAGGTGAAAAATCTGTCGATGTGCCCTTAAGCAAGGCACTTAACCCTAATTGCTCCTGTAAGTCGCTCTGGATAAGAGCGTCTGCTAAATGACTAAAATGTATTAGATTTTTTGCACCAGCTGTTGTTTACAAATATACACAGACCGCCACCCCTTGTCTTACCGGAGTCAGCCGTTCTATCCTGACGATGTAGCGTATATCCCGCCAGCTGTATGTAATCAATGTCATCGTTCAGCCACGACTCGGTGAAATATAAGAAATTAGTTTTTAATGTCCCGTTGGTAGGATAACCGTAATCTTAGGTCGTTCAATTTATTCTCAATTGATTGAACATTGGCTAATAGGATTGATGGAAGAGGCAGTTTACCCGCTCGCCGTCGGATGCTTACAAGGCACCCCGACCTACATCCACGATATCTCCGTCTCTTTCTCATGCGAATGGCGGGGATTTGGGCCTTTTACATTTTTATTCTTTTATTTTATTTATTTATTTCACCTTTATTTAACCAGGTAAGCCAGTTGAGAACAAGTTCTCATTTACAACTGGCCAAGATAAAGCAAAGCAGTGCGATGAAAACTACAACAGAGTTACATATGGGGTAAACAAAACTGAAAATATATATACAGTGTGTGCGAATGTAGTAAGTTATGGAGGTAAGGCAATAAATAGGCCATAGTGCAAAATAGTTACAATTTCGTATTAACACTGGACTGATAGATGTGCAAAAGATGATGTGCAAATAGATACTGGGGTGCAAATGAGCAAAATACATAACAATATGGGGATGAGGTAGTTGGGTGGGCTAATTTCAGATGGGCTGTGTACAGGTGCAGTGATCGGTAAGCTGCTCTGACAACTTACGCTTAAAGTTAGTGAGGGAGATAAGAGTCTCCAGCTTCAGAGATTTTTGCAGTTCGTTCCAGTCATTGGCAGCAGAGAACTGGAAGGAATGGCGGCCAAAGGAGGTGTTGGCTTTGGGGATGACCAGTGAGATATACCTGCTGGGGCGCAGACTACGGGTGGGTGTTGCTATGGTGACCAGTGAGCTAAGATATGACGGGGATTTGCCTAGCAGTGATTTATAGATGACCTGGAGCCAGTGGGTTTGGCGACGAATATGTAGTGAGGGCCAGCCAACAAGAGCGTACAGGTCACAATGGTGGGTAGTATATGGGGCTTTGGTGATAAAACGGATGGCACTGTGATAGACTACATCCAATTTGCAGAGTAGTGTTGGAGGCTATTTTGTAAATGACATCGCCGAAGTCAAGGATCGGTAGGATAGTCAGTTTTACGAGGGCATGTTTGGCAGCATGAGTGAAGGAGGCTTTGTTGCGAAATAGGAAGCCGATTCTAGATTTAACTTTGGATTGGAGATGCTTAATGTGAGTCTGGAAGGAGAGTTTACAGTCTAACCAGACACCTAGGTATTTGTAGTTGTCCACATACTCTAGGTCAGACCCGCCGAGAGTAGTAATTCTAGTCGGGTGGGCGGGTGCAAGCAGCGTTCGGTTGAAGAGCATGCATTTAGTTTTACTAGTGTTGAAGAGCAGTTGGAGGCTACGGAAGGAGTGTTGTATGGCGTTGAAGCTCGTTTGGAGGTTTGTTAACACAGTGTCCAATGAAGGGCCAGATGTATACAAAATGGTGTCGTCCGCAAAGAGGTGGATCCGAGCGTCACCAGCAGCAAGAGCGACATCATTGATATACACAGAGAATAGAGTCGGCCCGAGAATTGAACCCTGTGGCACCCCCATAGAGACGGCCAGAGGTCCAGACAACAGGCCCTCCAATTTGACACATTGAAATCTATCTGAGAAGTAGTTGGTGAACCAGGCGAGGCAGTCATTAGAGAAACCAAGACTTGTCGTCTGTAGGATATCCTTCGAGTCCGACTCATTGAAGAAAAAATCTTTGTCCAATACGAGGTGAGTAATCGCTGTCCTGATATCCAGAAGCTCTCGGTGTCTGTTTCAGGGCATTTGTCATCTCTCTCTCTCTCTCTCTCATACATTTTACATTTTAGTTATTTAGCAGACTTACAGTTAGTGCATTCATCTTAAGATACTTTTGTATATATATATATATATATATAGTGTATGAGGACACCCCTTCAAATTAGTAGATTCGGCTATTTTCAGCCACACCCGTTGCTGACAGGTGTATAAAATCGAGCACACCGCCATGCAATCTCCATAGACAAACATTGGCAGTAGAATGGCCTAAAGAGCTCAGTGACTTACAACATGGCACCGTCATAGGATGCCACCTTTCCAACAAGTCAGTTCGTCAGATTTCTGTCCTGCTAGATCTGCCCCGGTCAACTGTAAGTGCTGTTATTGTGAAGTGGAAATGTTTAGGAGAAACAACGGCTCAATGGTGGCGAAGTGGTAGGCCACACAAGCTCACAGAATATTACCGCCGAGTGCTGAAGCGCGAAGCACGTTAAAATTATCTGTCCTCAATTGCAACACTCACTACCGAGTTCCAAGCTGCCTCTGGAAGCAACGTCAGCACAAGAACTGTTCGTCGGGAGCTTGATGAAATGGGTTTCCATGGCTGAGCAGCCGCACACAAGCCTAAGTTCACCATGCGCAATGCCAAGCGTCAGCTGGAGTGGTGTAAAGCTCGCCGCCATTGGACTCGGGAGCAGTGGAAACACGTTTGCTGGTGTGATGAATCACTCTTCACCATCTGGCAGTCCGACGGACGAATCGTGGTTTGGCGGATGCCAGGAGTACGCTACCTGCCCCGATGCATAGTCCCAACTGTACATTTTGGTGGGGGAGGAATAATGGTCTGGGGCTGTTTTTCATGGTTCAGGCCCCTTATTTCCAGTGAAGGGAAATCTTAACACTACAGCATACAATTACATTCTAGACAATTTTGTGCTTCCAACTTTGTGGCAACAATTTGGGGAAGGCCCTTTCCTGTTTCAGTATGACAATGCCCCCGTGCACAAAGCGAGGTCCATACAGAAATGGTTTGTCGAGATCGGAGTGGCAGAACATGACTGGCCTGCACAGAGTCCTGACCTCAACCCCATCAAACACCTTTGGGATTAATTGGAACACCAACTGCGAGCCAGTCCTAATCGCCCAACGTCAGTGCCCGACCTCACTAATGCTCTTGTGGCTGAATGGAAGCAAGCCCCCGGAGCAATGTTCCAACATCTAGTGGAAAGCCTTCCCAGAAGAGTGGAGGCTGTTACAGCAGCAAAGGGTGGACCAACTCCATATTACTGCCCATGTTTTTGGAATGAGATGTTCGATGAGCAGGTGTCCACATACTTTTGGTCATGTAGTGTAGCTCGGTGGGACAATCACATATAGCAGTCATAGTAAGCATATTTTTCTCCAATAAAGTAGCTATCAGCAAGGTCAGAGCTAGTAAGAAAAAAATCAAGTTTGATTGTTAGTTCACGAAAGTATTTTTTAAAATTATTTTTTCTCTTCTCTTTCTGGGTCAAGCTCAGAACCTGTGGTTCGCTCTACACATATACATCATGTCCCACTGGTCACAGACGTCAATACAACGTCTATTCCACGTTGAAATTACTTGGAAACAATGTTGACTCAACCAGTGCGTGCCCAGTGTGGAACCTCCTGTCTCTGACTCAACCTTTTCAGTGGATGAATATTGATGTGACATTGTGGCGAAGAACAGAAGACAGGCTGCTATTTTGATGCTGTGTCTTCTGTATGTGCTAGGCTTGGTGTGGAAGTGGAACAGCAAGAGAGAAAGAGACTGAAACAAGAGATAGATAAAGAGAGTGAGTGAGAGAAAAGACAGACCACCTACTAGGCCGGAGATGGTGCGGTATTACCGTCTTTGTGTTAGGTTGTGGGTGCGCATGAAGTGTGTGTGTGTGTGTGTGATTACTGGAATGTACTGTGTGATGGCAGAGTGTGTGTTTTGGATGTGTTGCTTGCTTAGTCGCTTGTGTTTTTGTGTGTTTGTGTGCATGTTTTTTTCGATTGTGTATGTGCCACTGGGGTGTGTGGGTGGTGTTTAAACAGGAAATTAGGAGAGTGTATCTGCCTCATGGCTTCATGTTCAGGTGGGAGGGATTAGATACACACACACACACACACACACACACACACTGAATGGGCGTTGTAATGCTAATCCAGGTTGAGTCTCAACATGTATTTTTTCTTATAAACAGCAGTTATTGCTTCTGTAGACAGACCAATGCAAATAGGCTGTTAGGGCATAGAATGACTTGATTGAATGTGCAGGAGACATTATAGTAAGTACTGGTAGATACACAATCTGTTATGTCCATGGGCAGCTTGAACAAGCTGGGCTTGCAGACAAACACGTGTACACACACACACAAAGGGCAGTAATCCCCCTCGACATGCCATGGATTTGGGCAAAACAGGGATTTTCCTCTTCAAAGGGCAAGGACCACCCATTGGAACAATGGTGGCAGGAGCGCCGGAAGCTTCACACACACACACACACACACACACAGACACACAAACTGACCGCCCTCCTCGGCTTCTAGGATATTGAGGATTTGGGGGTTATTGTAAAGGCCAGTATAGAGCACATTCCACTGTATCTAGAAAAGCACATATCCCTTCAGACAGCAGATCACTCCCCTTAACTAACCCTGTTAGCACTGGGTCTGTAATAAACCACACACACACACACACTGGACAGTGAGGGAGGAAATTAGAGGGATAAAGGGAGGCTGAGGGATGGAGAGAGAGAGAGAATGGGATGGAGAGGGTGGAAGAGAGGGAGGGAGGGAGGGAGGGGTGAGAGAGAGAGAAATGGGATGCGAGGGTGGAAGAGAGGAGGATGGAGAGAGAGAGAAGAGAACGGGATGGAGAGGGTGGAAGGAGGGAGGAGGGAATGTGGGAGGGTGCGAGAGAGAATGGGTGAGAGGGTTGGAAGAGAGGGATGGGAGGGAGGATGGGGAAGAGAGCGAGAAGGAAACGGGGATGGAGAGGGTGGAAGAGATGGAGGGAGGGATGGGGGAGAGCGAGAATGGGGTGGAGAGGGTGGAAGAGAGGGAGGGAGGGAGGGGCGAGAGAGAATGGGATGGAGAGGGGGGGGAAGAGGAGGGAGGGAGGGGAGGGATGGGGAGAGAGGGAGGAGAACGGGGATGGAGGGGGGGAAGAGAGGGAGGGATGGGTGGGGAGAGAGAGAATGGGATGGAGAGGGGGGAAGAGAGGGAGGGAGGGATTAGGGAGGGATGGGGAGAGAGAGAGAACGGGATGGAGAGGGGGGAAGAGAGGGAGGGATGGATGGGGAGAGAGCTCCTCTGCAGTGTGTCTTTTGAGGGCAGAATGTAGTGCAGGGCTGCTTAGACAAGCTTTAGACTCAGACAGAAGTGTTGTGCGTGTTTTCGAGTGTGTCTTACTGGACGTGTTTAACCAGAAGTCCCCACAAGAATAGTAAACAAACAAACATTTGACCAAATGGAGACATTGTGTTAGTCCCCACGAGATCAGATGCTATTTCTAGGGGGTTTAGGGTTAAGGTTAGAATTAGTGTTAGGATTAGAATTATGTTAAGGGTTAGGAGCTAGGGTTAGTGTTGAGGGTTAGGAATTAGGGTTAGGGTTAAGGTTAGGGAAAATAGGATTTTGAATGGGACTGAATTGTTTGTTCCCACAAGGTTAGCTGTACAAGACTGTGTGTGTGTTTATGTGTGTGTACATGTGTTTTTATTTGATTACTTCTTTTGAACTGAAACACAGAGAAGGATGGCTGCTTTGTGTGGGTGATTCACAGGGAAATTTAAACTATTTGTTGCTTGAAAGCCGCTTTTGAAATCAAAGACAAAAGCTGGGAAAAGATGGTTGCTAACAACAGCCGACAGTGCTCCGCCGCCTGCATATTTGGATTAGTCTCTCTCTGCCTCTCTTTCTCTCTCTCACTCTCTCTCTCTCTGTCTCTCTCTCATCTCTCTCTCAACTTCCTTTCTCTTTTCCAAAAGCGGTGCGTTCGTCTTTCTCCATCTAGTTTTGTGTTTGAGTGAGTTATTGTGTCCAATGTGTGTGCCTTGTGGATATGGGAGAATGACTGTATTGTGGAATGGTGATTTGAGCATTGATACATTGATCCACCGTGCCTGTATGGAGATTCTGTTTGATAAAGAGAGACAAGCACGGCCTGCTTTGACTCACTGGAAGAACATAATGGTTTGATCACTGGTGGCGTTCATAAAGTACATAGGACCAAGAGTTTTTCCTGTTAAAGTCATTTAATCAGGAAACACTCCTGGCCATAATCCTAGTCATACAATATGCAGATCCAGTCTTTCACAGAACATGATTTAAAATGTCACCGATGAATTGAATTGAATTAATGGAGGTGGATGCGGGGATGTGTTTATTGAACCAGATATGCTTCACTCCAGTCAACCTAACTCCACTCCTAACTGAGGGCCAGTGAACGTATTTGATGGATTTTATCCAGTTACATCCTACCTAGGGTAACCAACATAATTGAATTGATATACTGACAAACTATGAGTCAGTGGTTTTTGTTAAGAGGTCCTTAATTTCAAAAGTTTCATGAAAAGGTGGGAGAGGAAATGTGAATGGAAGTAGGACAAATAGGAAATTATGACACTCAATGTGTTGTCTCAGAGTCGTTAACTAGTCCTTGGCCACAGGGGTGCAATTAAACGCTTTGGCCACTGCTGTGAAGAACCGCCGAATCCCCCACCTCTTTAACCTGGGCTTTTTGACAGCCTCTGTCTGATCATCTGCAAATGGGACATCAGGCTTGTAGTGTTCTGGGAGTTCCAACTTCTGCTCTTGTCCTTGCTCCAAGTATATCTGCAGCCTTATCTTCTTTAAAGGTAATTTTCAATATTCATCATCTCCAGCACCACCCCAACATCAACATATGTGAAAATGGCACGTTTTCTTGTAAAAAAAAAAGATGAAGGAAGATAAGTGTTTCCAATGACATCATAAACCAATTAGTAGGCAATTAGTAGGCAATGCCTACTCATAATTGGTTAAAATCACACGATGCACACCGAAGATGTAATTGGAAACACTTATCTTCCTCTCTTTTTTTCCACAAAACATAGAAACATGCCATTTTCACATACAGTGAGGGGAAAAAAGTATTTGATCCCCTGCTGATTTTGTATGTTTGCCCACTGACAAAGACATGATCAGTCTATAATTTTAGTGGTAGGTTTATTTGAACAGTGAGAGACAGAATAACAACAAAAAAATCCAGAAAAACGCATGTCGAAAATGTTATGAATTGATTTGCATTTTAATGAGGGAAATAAGTATTTGACCCCCTCTCAATCAGAAAGATTTCTGGCTCCCAGGTGTCTTTTATACAGGTAACGAGCTGAGATTAGGAGCACACTCTTAAAGGGAGTGCCCCTAATCTCAGCTTGTTACCTGTATAAAAGACACCTGTCCACAGAAGCAATCAATCAATCAGATTCCAAACTCTCCACCATGGCCAAGACCAAAGAGCTCTCCAAGGATGTCAGGGACAAGATTGTAGACCTACACAAGGCTGGAATGGGCTACAAGACCATCGCCAAGCAGCTTGATGAGAAGGTGACAACAGTTGGTGCGATTATTCGAAAATGGAAGAAACACAAAAGACCTGTCAATCTCCTTCGGCCTGGGGCTCCATGCAAGATCTCACCTCGTGGAGTTGAAATGATCATGAGAACAGTGAGGAATCAGCCCAGAACTACACGGGAGGATCTTGTCAATGATCTCAAGGCAGCTGGGACCATAGTCACCAAGAAAACAATTGGTAACACACTACGCCGTGAAGGACTGAAATCCTGCAGCGCCTGCAAGGTCCCCCTGCTCAAAAAAGCACATGTACAGGCCCGTCTGAAGTTTGCCAATGAACATCTGAATGATTCAGAGGAGAACTGGGTGAAAGTGTTGTGGTCAGATGAGACCAAAATCGAGCTCTTTGCCATCAACTCAACTCGCCGTGTTTGGAGGAGGAGGAATGCTGCCTATGACCCCAAGAACACCATCCCCACCGTCAAACATGGAGGTGGAAACATTATACTTTGGGGGTGTTTTTCTGCTAAGGGGACAGGATAACTTCACCGCATTAAAGGGACGATGGACGGGGCCATGTACCGTCAAATCTTGGGTGAGAACCTCCTTCCCTCAGCCAGGGCATTGAAAATGGGTCATGGATGGGTATTCCAGCATGACAATGACCCAAAACACACGGCCAAGGCAACAAAGGAGTGGCTCAAGAAGAAGCACATTAAGGTCCTGGAGTGGCCTAGCCAGTCTCCAGACCTTAATCCCATAGAAAATCTGTGGAGGGAGCTGAAGGTTCGAGTTGCCAAACGTCAGCCTCGAAACCTTAATGACTTGAAGAAGATCTGCAAAGAGGAGTGGAACAAAATCCCTCCTGAGATGTGTGCAAACCTGGTGGCCAATTGCAAGAAATGTCTGACCTCTGTGATTGCCAACAAGGGTTTTGCCACCAAGTACTAAGTCATGTTTTGCAGAGGGGTGAAATACTTATTTCCCTCATTAAAATGCAAATCAATTTATAACATTTTTGACATGCATTTTTCTGGATTTTTTTGTTGTTATTCTGTCTCTCACTGTTCAAATAAACCTACCATTAAAATTATAGACTGATCATGTCTTTGTCAGTGGGCAAACGTACAAAATCAGCAGGGGATCAAATACTTTTTTCCCTCACTGTATGTTGATGTTGGGGTGGTGCTTGTGATGATGAATATTAAATATCCCTTTCTTTAACTAATCAGATGGACTGAAGCTCCTAACATAGTCCTCTGACTACAGGTCTTGGTGTCTCAAAGCCTCAAGAAGGTGTCTGGACCCAAGTTCTTCTTTAAAGGAAAGTCCATGAGTACTCTCCCTTCTGATCTCTTCCGTCACTTCTTTTACAAAACTGAGCCGGTGTTCCATGCCAAACCTGCCAAACTACCATGTTGGAATATGAACAAGAAGACCCTGCTCCTCTGATAGGCATCTACATCATTCCTCATGGAGCTGACAATTTGTCTACATCTGTGAGATGGAGCCAACCATGCCGTTATGTAGATCTGTGAGATGGTTCTTCCCCGCTGCAAAATGCCATGTGTCCCTGAACACCTTTTTCAGGGTCAGCTGGATGATGCAGAGGGTTGGGTTCTCATGCTGAACTTCGATCTTTTTGAAGGATGCCACTTCTCTCTTGAGTGGAAGTGTGAATACCGGCCAGTCCATGTTGGTGTTTGGGAACCCCTCTAGAGTCCACTCTGGGGCCTTAGGGGGCTTCTGTTACTCCTTGAGGTTCTCTTGCTCCTTGGGCTTCTCTTGCTCCTTGGGCTTATCTCCATGGAGGCCTTGACGTTTGACCTCTGATGTTACTCCAGAATGGTAACAATCTTTCCTGGATTTCAGATCCTCATACCTCTTTAAGAGACCTGGTCCTCCACAGCTAATCAGCCACTGTCTTAGTTGAGGCAGAGTGATCTTCTCAGGGGTGGACATATGTTTTAGGATCATATTCCGCTCCTCAAGATAGGCTTCCCAGTCCCAGGCGAGGTACGGTCGACAGTCGCCACTATCCATCTTCTGAAAATGTCTCTGTTATGAAGAGTGAACTTTTTTCAGGATTTCTTTTTTCTTGGCTGGAAATGGCACTTGGGTTGTCTGTCCAGTAAAGGATGACGATAGATACTAAAGGCATTGTGCTATTTCTCTGAAAAGTGGAACACTTGGAATGGTACACATTCCACTATTTCTATGGTTACACATTGTGACCATTTATTGTAACCATAGAAAAATAATCATTCTAATTCTATGATTATTACAAGCGAGTTATGACCCTTTGTGATGTGTACAGTAGGCCACATCTTTTTTGCTGTTAAATCATGCCAGTATGTAAACTGGCCTTTGTTTTCAGGTGAAGAGATCATATTGTAAGATCATTCTTATGGTTTAGGTTATTTAGTTATTTCTATAAGAAAGGAAACAAAAAAATCAAGGTCCGGCAGGGATGTAGCTCAGTTGGTAGAGCATGGCGTTTGCAACGCCAGGGTTGTGGGTTCGATTCCCACGGGGGGCCAGTATGAAAAAAAATAATGTATGCACTCACTAACTGTAAGTTGCTCTGGATAAGAGCGTCTGCTAAATGAGTAAAATGTAAATGTTCTCTTACCCTCTTTCCCCCCCCCCCCCTTCTGTCTCTCTGGATACTGTCACTGTTCTCTGACTGGCTGTTGTGACAGAGCCGTCTCTTGAGTTGTCAGCCTCTGCTAAAGCTGAGTTTAATTACTCCTTTTCAGCGGCACGAAACACACACAGCATGCCACATTGTTCTCGCAGTAATTGTCAAAAATGCACAGTGATTGAAGTCTCCATCAACCGTGCTATCTGACAAACGGCGATGCATCTCACATCTCGTAGACAAAGAAGACCCCCAGATTTGTCAGGGTTTTCACAAGGTTTTTTCATAAATCCTTTGAAAACATTAGGAGATATGTAGATGTGTGTGTTGGCCTGTCACAGTGTTTGACAGGCAGCACGGATCGATGGACTGTCCCCACTGTGCCCATCTCTGAATAGCCAATTAAAGAGGAGGAGGAGGAGTTACAGTACACCATTATTGACTGAGTTTGGATGAAGGGTCCATTCTATGATAAACATGCGCTAGCAATGGCTCATGTGGAAAATAGTTATTCAGATAGAATATGTTTGTTATTTACTATAGTCCTAAAATCCTTTTATGTATTATATTCCTAAAATCAAAAAAAGTACTATATTCTAAATAATGAAATAACTGTATTGAAGGTTGCGTAAAATATTTACTTTCCTATTCCTTTTGTTACCTGTGATTAATAGAACTGTGACTGTCAGATGAGAGATGTCTTTGTGAGAACGAACAAAACAAATACGATTGTTGACACTATTGCAACTAAGAATGATGTATCGGAGCTACTAAGACCCATGACAGATGAAACAAAAATAAAGACATTTCAATTAAATTATATTTTTCCATTGGATTGCTGTACTCTGTTGCACCTGTGGAAGTTTGTTGAATGGGTGTGGACTACTTTTGAACTGATGGTCCCATTTCTCCTTTCTCCCCTCTCCCTCCCAGGAACCTTGCCCTACGACATAAAGATAGTGATTGCGGGAAACCATGAGTTGACCTTTGACCAGGAGTTCATGGCTGACCTGATCAAGCAGGACTTCTACTACTTCCCATCGGCCACCAAGCTGAAGCCAGAGAACTACGAGAATGTCCAGTCCCTGCTCACCAACTGTATCTACCTGCAGGACTCAGAGGTCACCGTACGCGGCTTCCGCATCTACGGCTCCCCCTGGTGGGTGACTCTGTAACTGCAGTATACCTAATAGTGCAAACCACTGCTACTTTATCTACTCTATTTCTATCTATCAATCTTCTCTCACAACCACTTTGTCCTTCCTCTCCACTTACTTTCCTGTCAGTCATTCACTCACACTCCCCTCCATACACTTCCTCCCATGCTCCTTTTTTTTCATGGCTACCTCTCTAGCTATGGTTTCTTTCTCCCTGCCTCCCTCCCTCTCTCCTCTCCTGTTGTCTCTCCCTGGTCAGTGCCATGCTGTTCCTGTGTTTCTCCAGTGGTGTGTGTGTGTGTGTGTGGTGCTGGTTTACCAATGCTCCATGATGCAGTATGTGTTTTTGGTGAGGGGCCCCAGAGGTAGTGTGTAGGCACTGGAGGGGTGTGCGTGTGGGGCCCCCTGTGCTAGGTAATTGGTTTGCTGAGATATTGGGGTCCCTTGAGTTAGAGGAATAGCCGCTATGGAGTGATGCCTCAGGTGTGTTGAAAGAGCGAGAAGGGAGAGAGAGAGATGAAGACGGAGGGATGGGGAGAGCGAGAGAGTGAGTGAATGAGAAACGCAGTGGGAGAGAACTGAAGACAGAGGGTGTAAGAGGAAGAATGGTGTACACGTCTTCAATTCAGTAACACCGGCTGGGCTTGGCTAGTGCAGTAGGCCTGCTACAGAAAGCAGATGAAATTATGTGTGTGTGTGTGTGTGTGTGTGTTAGCGTGCCTGTGTGTGTGTGTGTGGTGCCTGTGTGTGTGTGTGTGTGTTGCAGCAGCCCGAGGCTCTGTTCCTCCAGCACAGAGGGACTCCAGCTGGAGACTCCGTGTGTTCCCCTCTCCACACTGTCTGCTCCCTCTATCTCTTTACCTCTCCTCACCCACCCCCCCTCTCCCTCAATCCACCTGTCTGTCCGTGCGCTCCACATGTCGCTGGCTCGGCAGTGGGAGCGCGGGGGAACGAGGATGTCTCTTTCTCTCTCTAATCTCTGTAAGGAGCAGTGGGACAGCGCCTGCTTTACCCTCTCCAGTCCCGTCTCCATGGTGATGCCAGGCTGGCACTGCTTTATGGCCCGTGGCCGGCCTGTACTGTAGCCTCGGGGTGGTGGGAGGAGAGAAGCCTCTCTGTCTGTCTGTCTGTTTGTCTGTCTGTAGGTCTGTGTCTCCTGCCCTGACGAGTCGTCTCGCCTGAATTAACTGTAACCGCACAGTCATTCTCCCCTCTGTTCCGCTCTCACCCTCCCTCTATCGCCCTTCTTCCCCTTATCTCTCCCACTTCCTGTCTCATTTCCTAAATTTTTCTCCCTCAATCCCCTCAGCCATTACTATTCCACAAAGCCATGCCCCAAGCCCATACCTCTCCTTCTCCCATCCCTCCATCCATCTTTACTTCTGTTCTGTCATCCTTCAATCACTCCTTCTCTCTTCTATCCCTCCATCCATCCCTCTCTCCTCACGGGGGTCTGATGGCGTGTTGCTCGCAGCATGATGCTATCTTGTCCGTCCCAAGTCTCCGACACACACACACACACACACACACACACACACACACACACACACACACAGCTCCACAATCACTATCCCTACCCCCCAGTCTCCAGCCAAAATTAGATCCGAGCATGCTGCATCCTACCCAAATCCTAACAATTTGTCATTCTCTGAAATGTGAAATCAAAAGGACAGCATGGGGGAGCAGTTGTGTGTGTGTGTAATGCAAGTTTACAAGTCATTTTTCATGGGCGTATCGCAAAGCCACCCCGCGTCTCGGAGCTAAAGGGACGGGGAGGCACAACGGAAGATATGTGTGTGTGTGTGTGTGTAAGAGTGTGATGGAGGCAGAACGGAAGAGCTCCAAACCATAGTCTAACAGTAGCGTGGGAGGCATGGGAATTAGCCACAGTAGTCATCTTTTCAAAGCTCAAAGCCCAAACGAGGCAGAGAAAGACACAGCGGAACGAGGGAAAAGGGGAGAAGGAGGAGTAAAGTTGAGAAAGTGGAACGAGTGAGGGGTGGAGGAGAGTTTTAATGTAGACCTGCTCAACTCTGTTCACGGTGTGTGTTTGGGATTTTAGGCCTTTGAGTGTGTCTGAGAGGGCAGAGGTGGCAGCATTAGTCATAGTGTAGTCTACAGCTTTGTGTGTGTGTCGGAGTATATGAGGTCTCGGCACACATGTTTTGTTTTACACGGGGGAGCGAGAGCTCCTCGCTTCACTGCAGACTTCCAATGTAGCTAATCACATGGCTAATTAAGGAGATCATAACACTGTTGTGTGTGTGTGTGTGTTTGTGTGTGCATGCCCTGCTGGTATCCAAGAAGTGAACTATAATTGATGTAGCCTGTTTAAATGATTAGCAGAGACTGTGTGGGCCAGATTCAAATCATTGTAAACCAATCCCTTAAACAATTAATTTCATTGTGATTAAGTGGTGGTCTCCACACCAATGATTCAATTCAACACGACTGTGTTGTCCTCACCTTGCTCATGGACTGAACAATGAATGATCACCTTGTAGTTAAACATGTTCTTTCTACAGCTTTAGTGTAAGTTCCACAGATATCCTCACATTATTTCGCTCTCACTTCACTGTTTTTCTCTTGAGCCATTTAATTTAGCTTTGCGCTTCTTTTGGACTCAGCAGGGAGATTGGAACACCAATGAGAGAGAGATAGTAGGGAGATTGGAACATCACTGAGAGAGATGTATAGTAGGGAGATTGGAACACCACTGAGAGAAAGATATAGTAGGGAGAATGGAACACTAATGAGAGAGAGATATAGTAGGGAGATTGGAACACCACTGAGAGAGAGATATATATAGTAGGGAGATTGGAACTCCACTGAGAGAGATATATAGCAGGGAGATTGGAACACCACTGAGAGAAAGATATAGTAGGGAGATTGGAACACCAATGAGAGAAAGATATAGTAGGGAGATTGGAACACCACTTAGAGAAAGATATAGTAGGGAGATTGGAACACCACTTAGAGAAAGATATAGTAGGGAGATTGGAACACCACTTAGAGAAATATATAGTAGGGAGATTGGAACACCAATGAGAGAAAGATATAGTAGGGATATTGGAACACCACTTAGAGAAAGATATAGTAGGGAGATTGGAACACCACTTAGAGAAAGATATAGTAGGGAGATTGGAACACCAATGAGAGAAAGATATAGTAGGGAGATTGGAACACCAATGAGACAGAGATATAGTAGGGAGATTGGAACACCACTGAGAGAGAGAGATATAGTAGGGAGATTGGAACTCCACTGAGAGAGAGATATAGTAGGGAGATTGGAACTCCACTGAGAGAGAGATATAGTAGGGAGATTGGAACACCACTGAGAGAGAGATATACAGTGGGGAGAACAAGTATTTGATACACTGCCGATTTTGCAGGTTTTCCTACTTACAAAGCATGTAGAGGTCTGTAATTATTATCATAGGTACACTTCAACTGATGTATCAAATACTTATGTCATGCAATAAAATGCAAATTAATTATTAAAAAATCATACAATGTGATTTTCTTGATTTTTGTTTTAGATTCCATCTCTCACAGTTGAAGTGTACCTATGATAAAAATGACAGACCACTACATGCTTTGTAAGTAGGAAAACCTGCAAAATCGGCAGTGTATCAAATACTTGTTCTCCCCACTGTAGTAGGGAGATTGGAACACCACTGAGAGAGATATATAGTAGGGAGATTGGAACACCACTGAGAGAGAGATATAGAAGGGAGATTGGAACACCACTGAGAGAGAGATATAGTAGGGAGATTGGAACACCACTGAGAGAGAGATATAGAAGGGAGATTGGAACACCACTGAGAGAGAGATATAGTAGGGAGATTGGAACACCACTGAGAGAGAGATATAGAAGGGAGATTGGAACACCACTGAGAGAGAGATATAGTAGGGAGATTGGAACACCACTGAGAGAGAGATATAGAAGGGAGATTGGAACACCATGAGAGAGAGATATAGTAGGGAGATTGGAACACCACTGAGAGAGAGATATAGAAGGGAGATTGGAACACCACTGAGAGAGAGATATAGTAGGGAGATTGGAACACCACTGAGAGAGAGATATAGAAGGGAGATTGGAACACCACTGAGAGAGATATAGTAGGGAGATTGGAACACCACTGAGAGAGAGATATAGAAGGGAGATTGGAACACCACTGAGAGAGATATAGTAGGGAGATTGGAACACCACTGAGAGAGAGATATAGAAGGGAGATTGGAACACCACTGAGAGAGAGATATAGTAGGGAGATTGGAACACCACTGAGAGAGAGATATAGTAGGGAGATTGGAACACCACTGAGAGAGAGATATAGTAGGGAGATTGGAAACACCACTGAGAGAGAGATATAGTAGGGAGATTGGAACACCACTGAGAGAGAGATATAGTAGGGAGATTGGAACACCACTGAGAGAGAGATATAGTAGGGAGATTGGAACTCCACTGAGAGAGAGATATAGTAGGGAGATTGGAACTCCACTGAGAGAGAGATATAGTAGGGAGATTGGAACACCACTGAGAGAGAGATATACAGTGGGGAGAACAAGTATTTGATACACTGCCGATTTTGCAGGTTTTCCTACTTACAAAGCATGTAGAGGTCTGTAATTATTATCATAGGTACACTTCAACTGATGTATCAAATACTTATGTCATGCAATAAAATGCAAATTAATTATTAAAAAATCATACAATGTGATTTTCTTGATTTTTGTTTTAGATTCCATCTCTCACAGTTGAAGTGTACCTATGATAAAAATGACAGACCACTACATGCTTTGTAAGTAGGAAAACCTGCAAAATCGGCAGTGTATCAAATACTTGTTCTCCCCACTGTAGTAGGGAGATTGGAACACCACTGAGAGGGGGGGGAGAGAATATAGAAGGGAGATTGGAACACCACTGAGAGAGAGATATAGTAGGGAGATTGGAACACCACTGAGAGAGAGATATAGAAGGGAGATTGGAACACCACTGAGAGAGAGATATAGTAGGGAGATTGGAACACCACTGAGAGAGAGATATAGAGGGAGATTGGAACACCACTGGAGAGAGAGATATAGTAGGGAGATTGGAACACCACTGAGAGAGAGATATAGTAGGGAGATTGGAACACCACTGAGAGAGAGATATAGAAGGGAGATTGGAACACCATGAGAGAGAGATATAGTAGGGAGATTGGAACACCACTGAGAGAGAGATATAGAAGGGAGATTGGAACACCACTGAGAGAGAGATATAGTAGGGAGATTGGAACACCACTGAGAGAGAGATATAGAAGGGAGATTGGAACACCACTGAGAGAGAGATATAGTAGGGAGATTGGAACACCACTGAGAGAGAGATATAGAGGGAGATTGGAACACCCACTGAGAGAGAGATATAGAAGGGAGATTGGAACAACCATGAGAGAGAGATATAGTAGGGAGATTGGAACACCACTGAGAGAGAGATATAGTAGGGAGATTGGAACCACCACTGAGAGAGAGATATAGTAGGGAGATTGGAACACCACTGAGAGAGAGATATAGTAGGGAGATTGGAACACCACTGAGAGAGAGATATAGTAGGGAGATTGGAACACCACTGAGAGAGAGATATAGTAGGGAGATTGGAACACCACTGAGAGAGAGATATATATAGTAGGGAGATTGGAACACCACTGAGAGAGAGATATTTTACATTTACATTTTAGTCATTTAGCAGACGCTCTTAACCAGAGCGACTTACAGGAGCAATTAGGGTTAAGTGCCTTGCTCAAGGGCACATTAACGTCATTTAGCAGACGCTCTTAGCCAGAGCGACTCACAAATTGGTGGTTCACCCTATAGCCAGTGGGATAACCACTTTACAATTTGGGGGGGGGGGGGGGGGGGGGGGGGGGGGTTAGAAGGAATACTTTATCCTATCCCAGGTATTCCTTAAAGAGGTGGGGTTTCAAATGTCTCCGGAAGGTGGTGAGTGACTCCGCTGTCCTGGCGTCGTGAGGGAGCTTGTTCCACCATTGGGGTGCCAGAGCAGCGAACAGTTTTGACTGGGCTGAGCGGGAGCTGTGCTTCCGCAGAGGAAGGGGAGCCAGCAGGCCAGAGGTGGATGAACGCAATGTCCTCGTTTGGGTGTAGGGACTGATCAGAGCCTGAAGGTACAGAGGTGCCGTTCCCCTCACTGCTCCATAGGCAAGCACCATGGTCTTGTAGCGGATGCGAGCTTCAACTGGAAGCCAGTGGAGTGTGCGGAGGAGGGGGGGTGACGTGAGAGAACTTGGGAAGGTTGAACACCAGACGGGCTGCGGCATTCTGGATGAGTTGTAGGGGTTTAATGGCACAGGCAGGGAGCCCAGCCAACAGCGAGTTGCAGTAGTCCAGACGGGAGATGACAAGTGCCTGGACCAGGACCTGCGCCGCTTCCTGTGTAAGGCAGGGTCGCACTCTCCGAATGTTGTAGAGCATGAACCTGCAGGAGCGGGTCACCGCCTTGATGTTGGCGGAGAACGACAGGGTGTTGTCCAGGGTCACGCCTAGGCTCTTCGCACTCTGGGAGGAGGACACAGCGGAGTTGTCAACCGTGATGGCGAGATCATGGAACGGGCAGTCCTTCCCCGGGAGGAAGAGCAGCTCCGTCTTGCCAGGGTTCAGCTTGAGGTGGTGATCCGTCATCCATACTGATATGTCTGCCAGACATGCAGAGATGCGATTCGCCACCTGGTTATCAGAAGGGGGAAAGGAGAAGATTAGTTGTGTATCGTCAGCGTAGCAATGATAGGAGAGACCATGTGAGGATATGACAGAGCCAAGTGACTTGGTGTATAGGGAGAAAAGGAGAGGGCCCAGAACCGATCCCTGGGGGACACCAGTGGTGAGAGCACGTGGTGCGGAGACAGCTTCCCGCCACGCCACTTGGTAGGAGCGACCGGTCAGGTAGGACGCAATCCAGGAGTGAGCCGCGCCGGAGATGCCCATCTCGGAGAGGGTGGAGAGGAGGATCTGATGGTTCACAGTATCAAAGGCAGCAGACAGGTCTAGAAGGACAAGAGCAGAGGAGAGAGAGTTAGCTTTAGCAGTGCGGAGAGTCTCCGTGACACAGAGAAGAGCAGTCTCAGTTGAATGACCAGTCCTGAAACCTGATTGGTTTGGATCAAGAAGGTCATTCTGAGAGAGATAGCAAGAGAGTTGGCTAAAGACGGCACGCTCAATAGTTTTGGAAAGAAAAGAAAGAAGGGATACTGGTCTGTAGTTGTTGACATCAGTGGGGTCGAGTGTTGGTTTTTTGAGGAGGGGAGCAACTCTCGCTCTCTTGAAGACGGAAGGGACATGGCCAGCGGTCAAGGATGAGTTGATCAGCGAGGTGAGGTAGGGGAGAAGGTCACCGGAGATGGTCTGGAGAAGGGAGGAGGGGATGGGGTCAAGCGGGCAGGTTGTTGGGCGGCCTGCAGTCACAAGTCGCAGGATTTTATCTGGAGAGAGAGGGGAGAAAGAAGTCAAAGCATAGGGTAGGGCAGTGTGAGCAGGA